CTGCCAAGAAGTAATACTACAATTACCATCGTAGTACTTAGGGAGGGGATAGATAGAAGCGTAGGCCTCTGAGAGTTAAGTATACTAAGAGAAAATAAAAGTGAAGAATGACCCGGTAGCTTAACTGGTAAAGGATTTCGACATGTTATCGAAAAGATCCAGGTTCGAGTCCTGGCTTGGTTAATTTTTCACAAATTTTTTCAAAGTTACTTTCGCTCTCAGAAGATTTTCGTTTATTAACATCTTTATACCTCGAACAGATACTAACAACTTCCAGCTTACTATAGTATTCTTGTTTGATGGAGTCCATCGACCTAACAATAAGAGACAATCCCGTCTCGATCTTTAGCGAAGATGGAATGCTCCATCTCGACTTGAATTAGTTTAAAACTAGTCAAAAAATAGTGATCGCATTGGTGATAAAACAAACTCATTTAATTATAGTTTATTTTTTTCCGTGTTGAAACGACCGAAAAATCTTCGAGCTCGTAAATCAAGTAGTTGTTGGAGAGACACATTTTTGAAAATTTTGATTTTTGATAGCTTCCGAACGAATCAACCATTTTTATACCTTTGCGTCATTCAACGCAATTCCTTGAGCACAAAAAAATCATTTCCAACTTGAAAAATGACTCAATGAATAGTATATTACATACCTAGGCCAGTAAAATAAGAAAAGTCTCAGACCACATGTAATTGTTGGCCGAGGCGAAGCCGAGGTTGACAAACATGTGGTCTGAGGCTTTACTTTTTACTGGCCAAGGTGTGTATACTATTTTTCTGCTCGACGTAGCCGGAATGTGGCAACTTTGTTTAGCGCAGCGGCCAGAAAGTTGCCACTTTCCGGCCGGAGAGCAGAAAAAATTTTGAGGTAATGCGGAAATAGTAATTTATGTCATATGGCCGCAAAGTGGCGATTTTCTGACAACGACGATGTTGCGATATGAGCTTAAGGTTCGTGGCGGGAATGTACGAAAATGGGCGTAATTTTAACGTCCGAGGCGAAGCCGAGGACGGAAATTTACGTTCGTTTTCGTAGATTCGCGTCACAAACTTTAAAGCGAATATCGTAAAATCGTCGTTATCAAAATCACCACTTTGTGGCCAAATGAGATACAATATTTTTTGTTATTATATATCGCTCCATAAGTTCAACTTTTGAGGGATAGGAGGCAAATAATGACATATTCAAATTTTATGAAATTTCACAACAACAAAAAAACTTAATTTTATATTAATTATCTTATTATTAATATTTATTTATAATATGGTTGTTATTTTATTAACATTAGGTCTGCATCGTAATAAACTGCCAGCAGAGAAATAATTAGCGCCACTCAATAGTAACTAAGTTTAAAATTTAATCAAAATCCATCGGTCGGTACACTAGAATTTGATTTATTTCGTTCTAAATTTCATTCGATTGTTCAAGGACAGTACGGAAAAAAGGGGAAAGTAAACTTTGCGGCCTAGGCCGCGGAAAAAAAGGCGGTATGGTAGAGTCTCTAGAAATGAGTACCTTTTCGGACGCCACCTAGCGCTCAAAAGTTGAACTTTGGGAGCGAGTATAACAAAAAAAACTTTTTTTCTAGAATTTTTCGTCAACGATCTCTCCCGAACAAATCAACCGAGTTTGATGCAGTTTTTGGCAATCGATGGTTCGTTTTAAAGTTAAAGGGTTTAGATTATGAAAACGATTGTTATATTAGTAGTTTAACCCTTCGTAGGTTGTATAATAAGAGCAGCATTTCCTGTTTCCATTTCATTCTTTTTTCTTAACAATACTTTCAAGGAAAATGTTGTGAAAAATTAAATTTTTTCTTTATTCCCGATTTTTCAAAATCATTGATTTTCATAGTAAGATTTTGAAAATAGTGATGTAAATGTATGCAAATCTACATCAACGAGAAAAATTTTTTTCTTGACTATATTTAAAAGACATGCAATAAAATAATAGTATTAAATTGTCTACAGAAAGCAATTGGCCTAAAAACAATTGATGCTCTTTCAAAAAGATACGGAACGCAATACGTCACAGGAAATATCGCTGAAACTATTTGTAAGTACATCGAAATTGATTAATAAGTAATGAGTGTATTTGAATTTATATGTTGAAACTGATAATTTTCTCCAGACGTTGCTAGTGGAAGTTCTATGGATTGGGTAAAGGCTACCTTCAAAACTCGAATTTCATACACTTATGAATTACGAGATAAAGGAAGATATGGTTTCCTGTTACCTGCTGACCAAATAATTCCAACAGGACAAGAGACTCTAGACTCGCTGATTACACTGTTTAAAGAAGCTGAAACATAACACTATTGAACGAAGTTGCGATTATATAGTTGATAATAAACTTTGATCATGATTTTTATCAAATAGAACAAAAAATTATCATTAACAATCAAAAAACAAAAAAATGATGAAAAAAATAAAAAATAGATGATGAACATGATACTGAACTAAATATCTGAAATTTTTCAAATTTATGAAATAAATTCACTAATTATATGATAGTTTTAAAAAAATTCACTAGTAGAAGTTAAAAAAGAATTATAAATGAAATTACCCTAGCGGTTTCGGTGCCACCGATAGAACTCTGTAGAAACTCGTCCGAAACTCAGCGTAACGACGGAGTATAGTCGGCGTATATGGGGAGTAAACTCGGAGTATTGTGTGCAGTTGTGACACATGAAGACGATAGTGGTTAATTGGTGATTAATTGAGATCGTTACGGTGTTTGGTTGGAATTTCGCTGGTGTTCTCATGAAGTTTTCCCCGAGTTTTATCGGTGTTTTTTCGGATTTTCTGTCAAGTTTAGTCGGCGTCTTCACCGAGTTTTTGTGGAGCTTTCCAAGAGTATTTTGCGAATTTTATCGGAGTTTTCTGATGGATAATGAATGAAAAACCGAAAAAAAATAATTCGGACAGACCGGGACTCGAATCCGGACCGTGTTCCATAATAAGTCAAGGACTCAGGGACTCAAGGACGCTCAAGCGGTCAAGCTAGCTGAGACATTGTCCGTAGCTACTATTCAGTCACCTAATAAGACCCGCAGTAATAAACAAAACTGTCTATCTTACGGAAACCGATTAAAGTTTTGAATCACTTTATGTATTGATAAAATTCTAATTTAAATTATGATAATATTGTTTCAGTGGATCAACTGTAAACTTATGACAATTTTTTTATGATGTCATTTTTTTATGTATCGTATATTTTACTTATAAACTTCATAATATATTTATTGAATAACATATTCTATGTAGATAAATATATTTAAACTTGTAAATAAATAAATAAATTAATAAAAACTACACCGTTATTGAAAAATGATTTATTTATAGTCATCTTTGTGAAATCAAATTTAATTTTCATCCCATGAAGAATTATTAATCGCGAGTAAACTCCATAAGAACACTACCAAAACTCCGAAAAAACACCAACGAAACTCTTATAAAGCTCCGCAAAACATCGAAAAAAACTCGACAAAAACTCCCTAGCTACTCTGAAAATACTCCACAAAAACTCGACGAAAACGCCAAAAAAAACTCCACTGCAACTCCGAAAATATCCAACAAAAACGCGAGGTAAACCCCATAGCGACTCCGAAAAAACTCGTGGAAAACTTTTCGAAAACTCTAATAATACACTTTTCTGACTCCGTGTCGTAACAGCACACGATACTCCTTGCATACACCTCTAAAACTCCGCGTAAACTCCGCTTATACTCCGATTAAACTCCGAGAAGGCGTATACTCCACAGTAACTCCGCGTAAACTTCGAGTTTACGCTGAGTCGTCGAAACCGCTAGGGTATTCAAAAATATTTTCTCAGGATGTTTTTTCTGAGACGGAATGACACGGATCGTTTTTTAAAAATTTTTTATGAGTCTCAGACTTGAATCAAACTAATCCAACAAAATCTCGAAACATAATTTTATTTTACAACCACAATAAATGTTTAATTAGGACTTAAAAAATATTTCAAAAAAATTGCATTTATAGTTTTTTTTTAACTTTTACTGGTAAATTTCTTAAGACAGTTTTCGATCCACATCATTTTGTTTCAGAAGAAACGGCTCAAGTCAAGGGAAAATCTGTGGACAAAAATGTCTCAGACAATATAATCTCCGGAAATTTTAACTCAAACAGTAATGTCTCAATCAAAAATATCCCATGGAAAATGAATTTCAATTAATAACTTCTTAAATCTATGCGAAACCAGTCTATCAGTTAAAATAACGTGGTCAAACAAGTTCGTAATGAAATGAGTCAAATGATAATAGATTGACTTATAAATTATTTTTAATCCAACTTCCTAATCAATTATTTCGAGAGTGGCTTCGCCCTTGAGCCCAACTATAATATTAATTATTAGCTCTTTCAGGGATCATTTTTCAGAGTAATCTCATCGTGACTTGACGATAATTCCAATTACAATATAAAAAAAAAAATTAGGAATACGGGTGATCCTGAAGGCCATCCCTGCAACTTCCCCCCTAGGGGATTCCTGGTGACGGTTAAACTACGGTCAAACGACGGTGAATTCACCGTGAATTCACTTTACCGATGAAGGAAAGTCTATTGGCGGTCGAACAACCGTCGTTCGACGGTGAAAAATAAGTGAAGTTGTGAAATGTTCTGACGGTGATTGCATGGTTCATACAGCAATCATTCACAAGATTTTCTCCATGTGTTTCCCACTCAATAACGATGATTTTCCGACATCTTGATCGTTTTCAGACATAGATACAACGGTGAATGACTAGTAAAAATTCGGTGAATAAAGAGTATTTCGGTGGTGGATCCACGGTAGTCTGCTCGGTAGATCTGCACGGAATTTCAGGTCAAATGGCGGTAAAGAAGATAGTAACGGTAAAGTAGAAATTTTATACCAGCGATCCATTGATAAATTGCTGGATGAAGTTTTATTTGTAAATGTAAAAAAATTTCATAAATTAATATACGGGGCTAATAAAAAATAAATAAATAGTTAATAAAAATAATTCGAAAAAGTATTCAGTCACTACAATTTTTGACATTATAAGAAAAACACTTTTTATAAATTTTTGTAAAATTTCAGGATTTTTTGTTTTATGAAATTTTTAATTTAACATGGGCTCATGAAATGAAAAAAAAATTTTTTTTTTTTATTAATAATACCAGCGATCCATTGATAAATTGCTGGATGAAGTTTTATTTGTAAATGTAAAAAAATTTCATAAATTAATATACGGGGCTAATAAAAAATAAATAAATAGTTAATAAAAATAATTCGAAAAAGTATTCAGTCACTACAATTTTTGACATTATAAGAAAAACACTTTTTATAAATTTTTGTAAAATTTCAGGATTTTTTGTTTTATGAAATTTTTAATTTAACATGGGCTCATGAAATGAAAAAAAAAATTTTTTTTTATTAATAAAATTTAGTGAATTTATTTTTGGTGACTAATTAAAAGAAAATGATTTATTATTGAGAATTCATGAAATAGAAATAATTATCAAAATTAAATTGAGTATCCGTAAAATACATGGTGATTAAAATGCATTTTTAACACAAGTCTGGGATAGCATAACAGGAAAATCCCTCGACTTTCAAACTGGTGAACCGAGTTCGATCCCCGGTCTGGGCGAAGTTATATTATAATGAATTTTTTTTTTTTTAATTATTATCGTATACGCGAACATTTTACGAGCTTAATATCGATTATTCTGGGTGAATGAACCTATTTTCTTTCATCGGATTCCCACGATGACACGGTGAATCGACCGCAATGAGCTAGTTGTTTGTCAGTGATATGCGGGTGAATTGATGGTGAAATGTCGGTCAAATCACCGTAAATTCACCCACAGAAAAAGGTATTTCTCGGATCTACAGTCGGTAAATCAGTTGTCAAAAACGTTCACAATGACACCTGATATAGACCGTCAAATCACTTCATATATACTAATGTTTGACCGTGAATTGACCATATTATAACCGTGGCGGTGAATCCGCTAGGGCCGTCAATTCTATACCTAAACGCTTGAAATTGCACTTATGACGTTTTAGAGCTCATCGAGCTCATAAATACTATTTGAGTATTATTTTGAGCTATATATATATATATATACATACATACAGACATACAGACACCACCGCGGGGGTAGTCAGGGAAGCTTCTTATGACCTTAAAACGTCGAGATCTGATGAAAACTCGATTTTTGCAAAACGGGGTGAAAACAATAACTTCCCGATTTTTGAAAATCTGAGATTTTTAAGGGGAAGTTAAAAATAATTAAACAATATTGTTCGAGTGAAAATTTTACAATTCTATTATGTGTGTGTAAAATTACTTAAATATTCAATATTTCATTATAAGAATAATGTAAAATCAGATTTGACTTTTTTACAAATTTTTTGTGAAGAAATTTCAGAAAATAATTGCTCTTGTGGCATATTAAGATTTATATTTATTAAAATAACTATTAAATGGTTTTCGTTACGCACGTTTTATAATCAGTATGGAGACTATACAGTGTATAGTTTCGCGAACATTATTAACTGTGGACGGTTTGTTTTTGACTTTTCCTGTTCAGAATTTTTCACTCTTTAATACAATACCAATATTATTGGGGCTTTACATAAATATATGCAAATTTTTTTTTTGTAAAAATAGACGGGGTCTCGGTATGTCTAATGTTATTTTATTATTTATTTAAAAAACCCGTTAAAATTATGATTTCTAATTATGATTTTTGTGATCTACGCATTTTTTTACATTTAATTGATAGTAAGATGTAGCTTAAAAAGTTACATTGAGCAACGCGTAAGAGTAAAGTCAGTGGACTATATGTGGAAATAATGCTCTGAAAAAACTTTTGAAAAGTCTTTATAACTCTAAGACTCTTCGAAAGTCTTAACATCCCTAACTAATTAAAGAAAATACTTGATAAGTCTTCAAAACTATGCAAGACTTTTCAAAAGTCAAATGTTCCCTGCAATTTGGGAACATTCTCGAAGAGTTATTGAGAGTTGATATTAAGACTTATTCAGTTTTACATGAGAAAAAGAGAATATTTCTTTTCAAAAAATTTACTTATCAGAATCGCAGAAAATTGAAAATAAAACTATAAAAAAGAATTAATGCATGTTTTGTAAAATTTTTTTTTTAAATAATATTTTCATCACGAAAATACTTCGATGCGAATCGAATCACTCATAGTTGAGAAAGTCTAAACTTCAACAGCAAATTATGTGCACTTGCTGCTGGAAACAGATACTACTCAAAGAGTAAATCCAATTCAAGTTTCAAAGAGTCTTTATTAAT